ATCTTACAGTGAAGAGTTATATTGATTTTTTTCCCATCTTGTTATTCCATTTATCTTGTCAATCCTGATTTTCCTGTTACTAGCTCAAAAGGAGTATGGACAGATGCATTGTTTTATGTCAACCCTGTGGACATAGTTTCATTGTTTCATAGTTGGTAGGGCCCTTCTGACCCTACCAACGAAACTATGTCCACAGGGTTGCCAAAGATGAGTTGTGGTGAACCATAGTGAGAGTGAGTTCTGCAGGCAATGATCCTCAGGAACAAGAAACAGTAGCTTCAAAGCTGATCTTTGCATCACCTAAAGTATGTAGAAATTATAAATAACATCTCAAAGAGCTGGATTCTAGGACATCTGGTGAACCAGAAATAGTTTACAAAGCTAACTAGAGTTGCGCTTTCAGAAAGCCTGGCAAAATTAATCATATGCAACTAAAATACCATGTATTAAATACCAAAAATAAAATAAAATAATGAAAAGTGTCTACAAATCACTAGAGGCATTAGTACACAGTTACTCACTGATGATCCTGTTTATTTTACTATGTATTTCTAATTAAAGGCTATAAGTCATCTTGTCACATTTTCAACAAACACAGGACCATTTAATTATTTAATGGTGTCATTAATCCAAAAATTCAAAATCTGTATAGAATGCATGCAAGGTACAGCACAAATAATGGAATCTACTTTCACTGTTAATATTAGTAACCTTGCATTTATAGTGATGTGAATGATTAGGAAAATACTTGTCTATAATCATGGTCATCATAAGAAAACTGTTTATACGAGTGGTGGTCAACCTTTTTCCCCTGCAGGCTGGATGGGCTGTGCCTGGTCCATCTACAGGCTGGGTCCAGCCACTGATCCTAATTCAGAGTCCAAGCTTGGAATGGTGGACACCATCCAGCCATGTGGAGAGGGGCAGGGGACAAGCCGGCTGGCCCCAGCGTGGGCCCACAAGAAAAGACATTTAACTTGGGCGCAGAACTGGAAAGAGCCTTCTGAGTCACTGAATCTAATCCCATACTATTTCATATAATCATGTCATATAATCCTATTCACAGATTTATCAGGCTGTACTTTAAAACCAGATAGCTTTCTTCCTCCTTTCCAGTTCCCAACTCTACAACTCTACCAATCTGAAGCAATCTTTCTTGACTATGAGTGATTAGAATTGTACACAGCATTGGGCTTCACCAGTTCCATGCCTTTTGTTTCTATTTCTAGTTTGTTCTTAATACACATATCTTCTTTTTGAGTATGTACAGATATTCAAGGAGGTTAGGGGAAGATTAGATCAAGTTAACAATGGCCATATCAGATTAGCAGCTCCTAGTCATTCCTTTTGCATTGGGCTTCCTGGACAGGCATGAGTGGAAGGTATATGTGAAATACAGAGGGCTATAAAGGAAGAAGGGAATGTGGCTCAGTAGTGTGGCTGCTGGCCCAGCAGATAAGGGTGTCTGTGTTCTAGCCTAAACTTTTCCTTCTAGTGTGACAGAACTTACCATTCTCCGTCCATTTTTTCCAATGTCTACATAAGTGAATCAGCAGTAGAAGGAGCAATGGTTAGAACACTGTGCTGGGAAGTCAGCAGCCCAGGTTCAAACTCCCACTTGGTGAAGGTGGGAGCTAAAGCTCAGGACTGTAAGAAGCTTCCTAATTACACCTCTGTTGCTGGCAGGGGTCTTATTTCATTACTAGTCTGCACATTCACATGCTCTGGGCCAGAAGGAGAATTCCACCTTGGCAAAGTGTAGTACTTATGGACAAATAAAATTGCCATGTAGACAACAAAAAATGGCCACTTAAACAATTGAAAAAGATTAGAAAATCACCCTTAACTCTGAACTTGAAAACCTGTATGTTGGCCTAGGCTCAGTCAAGATTTCAGTTGAATTTTATCACAGAAAATGCAACCAAGAGTCCAGGATAGTTAACACATTTTGATGAGTATTTCCACAATCCTAGCTTAAATTTCAAGTTTATGTCAAAACACAAAACTGTTTGGAGGTAGTTTGAATGACTAGCAAGTGACCATGTGGCCTAATGGATAAGGTGTCTGACTTCAGATCAGAAGACTACAGGTTCAAATCCTGCCGTGGTTGTAAGTTGCCTCCTGGCTATGCAAAGCTCCCTTTCAAATTATTTGCGTTGGGTGAGTGTCATCCAAGGATGCTGAAGGAATTAACCAAGGTCATAGCAGAGCTACTGGCATAGCTGTTTGAGTACTTGTAGTGCTTCAGTCAGGTCCCAGAGGAGAAGAGCCAAGGTGGCCTCTCTTTCTGGCTGGTGTTATCTGACCTCAGTCCTCTTTTCTGCCATACACGATGATCCATTGAGTTCCTTCCAACTCTCTAATCTATGAATTATGATTCTCTGTCTGTAGTCTTTAAGTAACCTAATATGCATATAGCAACAGGTAGTTCTACGTACTGTAGTTCTCTGCTTAGCTTTTGCATTTTCTTATTCCATATATGATGAAACAGCAGGATAATTTGATTTAGATTCTGTTTTTACTAAGCAACTTAGCAGACATTCTTCAACTGTCAAAATTTGTGTCTGTTCAAATCACAACTAGGATCACTCGATGACACCAAAACCTGATGATTTTCACAGCTCAGAAATATCCATTTTGAATTACATGTATCTCAATCTTTCAACTGCAAATGGAGAAAAAAAAGTTTTAAAGCAGTAATAACCAGGTCTTATAAATTGAAAATATGTTTCTATATATCAGTACCATTCAGAATATGAATGCATTTAATGTGTATTTAAAAAGAAACTATAGGTATGCAAGCATTTAACTACTGCTTTTTACCTGACACTTAGAAGATAGCCACCTTTTAAGGCAGAATCCTATATAAAGTAGAATACATTATCTGCTAGCATCTCACAAAATTGAATTTATTTAGTCTCCAAATATTTATAATAAGCTGCTGCTGATAAAATAGTCACCAGAGGAAAATGTATTCATCTACCTAAGATAATTGAAAATAATAATGTATGAGATCTATAAAGTTTTTAAGTTCTTTTCAATTTATGTATATAGGCAACCGTCAATCCACTGGATTATTGTGTACACCTAAGAGGTCTAGTCAGGTGCCTCATGAATCCACTTGTGGCTGGCAAACCCAATTCAAGAATGACACAACTTGTTTCATCGGTCCATAAGTTGTCTGAATTGGAGTCCAAGTTGCAGAATGCTGTTTCCTTCTTTCTTGCTTTGTTTCCATCATCTGGATCAAAACTGCTTCATATTGAGCTGTACCCAGTGCCAGATGTTCCCTCCACATTAGACAGAATTCTGTGCACTCCTCTCAACTTTCTACATAGCTTCATATCATTTTTGTACACATTGTGGTACTGCCATAGAGGGTGAACCTGATTTCTAGAGCATCTTCAAATGTCACTATACAAAATATTCTTGGAGATATCATCTTCTCCCATTCTTCTGACATGGCTGAGCCATTTCAACCTCCTCTTTTTAATAGTGGCTTCTAAGTGCATCAGTCCTGCATGCTCCAACACCTCTGTATTTGGCATTTCATCTTCCCACTTTATTTTCAGGATCTTGAGAGGGCATCTCATGTGATAGGTGCTCAGTCTCCTGCTGTGTCTAGTATACGTAGTCCATGTTCCTGAACTATAAAGCAGGGATCTCAGCACTCAAGTCTCATAGATTCACATCTTCACCTTAGTTGATAGTTTGTAGTTATTCCTTGCACATTTCTGTAATAGCCCAAGATGACAGAACAAGGAACAAAGGTCTCAAGTTGCAGCAAGGAAGTCTAGGGTAGATATTAGGAATAATTTTCTTACTAGGAGGGTGGTAAAACACTGCTTACCAAGGTTACCCAGGGAGGTGGTGGAATCTCCTTGGAGGTTTTTAAGACCCAACTAGGCAAAGCTTGGGCTGGAATGATCTAGCTGGGGATGGTCCTGCCTAGAGCAGGGGGTTGGACTTCCTGAAGTCCATTCCAACCCTAATAGTCTATGATTGCTAAGATTTATGGCTACTTTTTCAATTCTGTTTGGCAATTTAGTGTGCAAGTGATTCTATTAGTCAGTTCAGTCTGAAGGTCAAGTGCCTGCTGATCATAGAACCCAAGTAACAAAAGCTGTCAACACCATCAAGAGATTTATAAAGTGTATGAGATTTAATATTGTATAAAGAGGTATGAAATTTATAGAGTTTTAAAGTTCTTTTAAATTTAGGTACCGATTCACTTAACAGAAAAATTATAATCTGTAGGAGTTTAGCCCTTTGTGACTAAAAATGAAGAAAAAGCATGTGTCTAATTGAAACTGGAGGGTTGGGGTAAGTGAGGATGCAGCACAGGGGCAGGCAATTATTTGGGCTAAAGGGTCACTTAAGGAGTTTTGGTGATCTATTGTGGGTGGGGGCAATTGATCTGATCTGGCCCCAGGCCTGACAGCCCAACACCAACTGCTGGTGGCACCAGGCAGGTGGGGTCTCTATGGAGAGCGGCTCAGAACACCCACGGGGGGGGGGGGGGGGGGGGTACACTCGGCTGAGCAGATCAGATGGGATTGCAGACAGGCAGGGAGTGGCATCTGGGAGCAAGACAGGTGAGCAGAGCTGGGATCAGGAGGCGGTGACAGCCTGGGGCCAGGGCCTGGGACACAACTGCAAGCCATTCCCTGTGTTTCCCTGTGATGGGTACCAGTTCCACAGGCAGGAACATTTAGAAAGTGGATTGCAGCTGTGCCCTGGGACCTGGCCCCACACCGTCACTGCCCTATGATCCCAGTCTCAGTCCTGGCCCCAGCTGCAGCCAGCTTCCAGACACCACTCCCCACCTGCCTGTGGCCCCACTGATCCACCCGGTTGAATGCACTCTGTCCACAGGGGTCCTGGGCTGGTCTGCATGGACACCCTGCTTGCTGGGTCACCCACCCATCCAGCACCCCCAGCAGTGGGTATGGGGCAGATGGGCTGGGGTGCCTGGGCAGTGGGGCCAGATCCACCAACAGAGACACTGGCTGCCAGTCAGAGTAAGCCACTGCTATAGGGGCTACCAGGAAGTTGAATACAGCCACCGCACCACCCATGCCCCAGGCTGCCACCCCAGATGTGTTCACAACTCAGGCTATAGAATATAATTAACAGATATCTGCCTTAGATGTCAAATATATGGAAAAAAGATGGATTTTATAAACGATGCCTTAGTTTGTAATTTTTTATGCTTTATTCACAAACCTTGTTTTCATGCACCTTTACATTTTGATATATTCCATTGGGGTGTAGGTTGTAGCCGTGTTGGTCTAAGGACATAGGCAGACAAGGTTCTTTGGATGAATCTGATATCTTTTATTAGACCAACTTAAATAGTTGGACATTTTTTTCTTAGCAAGCTTTTAGGTTTAAAAACCCTTCATCAGGCTGAGGAAGCATCTACAGTTGGTGTGTGCTCTTCCTGAATGGAATGAATAGTAAAGAAGCCAGAGGCTGTTATGCATGCAGGACTGACTGCTCTTCTTGCATGCATACCAGCCTCTGGCTTCTTTGCTATTCATTCCATCCAGGAAGAGCACACACCAACTGTAGATGCTTCCTCAGCCTGATGAAGGGTTTTTAAACCTAAAAGCTTGCTAAGAAAAAAATGTCCAACTATTTAAGTTGGTTTAATAAAAGATATCAGATTCACCCTTGTCTGCAACATATTCCATTAATTTATATATTGGGCAATCATTATAAATGTTAGTCTGTGAAAAAGATACAAAACTTTGAAAGGCATATGGAAATATTAAGGAGTTTATATATAAGATTTATTATAACTAGACATTACATTCCAGTATTTTTTCCCAAGTTAAAAAAGGATCATTCATTCGTCATTTTGGTTTCTGATCATCTGTTAAATTATTGTTTGGTAGAAAAACTGAAAGGAAGAAAAAAAGGAAAAAAATAGTGAATGAGTAGCAGCAATGTAAGAAATAGCATAAGTAAGAAAGCAATCAATGTCCATTAAGCTAGATCCTATATAAATTCATGAAAGGATTGTAAAGTTATCTAAAGATGCATGTCTTTTTGTGACATTTCATAACCACATAGACCTTTCTACACTGTGACAAATGAAAGCAAACTGGAATCCAGGGTACAAAGGCATCAATATTTCATAACTAATGAGTGATCACAAAAGTTGTTCCTGTTTATATCTATATTGATTGGCTTCAGGAGTCATAGAGAAAGCAAAATAAAAAGATATTTTATATTTTTTAAATTAAGAATGATGCAACCAGCCTGTCTGAGGACAAGAGGTGAAGTTTGCTCAAACCAGATGAATGGGAACAAATATATATAAAGTTAAACAATATGGTTAATTTTGTTAAAATCTCTGAGAAAAATCAGTTGTTCAGGAACATGCAACTCATGAGCGATTTGCTCCCATGACTCCAGGTTGATACCAAAACTCTTTAGGGACATCTTTAAGGTGTCCTTGTACCGCTTCTTTGGTGTGCCATGAAAGCACCAAATACAGAATATTATCTCCATAAAGTAAGACAATGTTATAATTTGTAGTTAACTTTCACAAATGCAAAGAGTCACTCTATTCATTGGTATGCAAAGAAGCTCCTATGATGCTTTAAATGCCAATGGTTATAAATGACTGCCTATAGTAATGTTTTTTTCTTGCTGTACTATATTACATCTCTGATTAGTGTTCTTTCCTCAAATACAAGTTGTAATTAAGGATCTTTCAAATATAATCCATACCCTACTTGTAAAAACATTATTTTGTAAAATAAGTTGATGCCTGGGAGGATCATTAGATTTCAAATTAAAACTCATTGCCCCAGCAGGTTTTTAATAAGAACTGAGACAGGTATGAAAGCTAAATGTCTATTATGTACACTGATTTCAAATGAAACTATGGCTGAAGAATATATCCAGCTTTAGCAGTAAACCCAGAGGATTCTAATCTGTCTTGTGCGTTATTAGGCTTCTGTTATCAGACTATCATAGTTGTAACCCAATGCCCTTGGAGACTGTGCATGCATCTTTCTGTCATATGCTTTCTAATTCAGGCTACCCATCATTCTCTAAGAAAGAGGTCTTCTGCTGGTAGGCTAATTAGCAACTTAA